AAATAAAATAATTAATACAGTTCATTCATTTCTTGTTGCAATTGAATTTAATGGGCACCTTGCTGGGATTTATGTCATGGAGGCCATTAAATAACTTGCTGTCTGCATGTTACATTATTGTTATCACTACTAATGTTACATTATCAAACCTGAGCAAGAGCTGAGAGTTTGCACAGTCTAGTCACTGATGGAAGAGTTGCTCTGAAGATAGCCCTTGGAATAGTTGCAGCCAGACGAAGAGCCATTTTGGAAACTGTTGGAATTACAATAGCTCATTCATTATCTGCATCAATCCACCCCCCTGTACATCCCAAAGATGTCTCTGATACTGCCTCTCTGATACTGCCTTTTTTTAATATGCGATTTCATGAAATCATCATTATACTTGTAACGTCAAATCGTGAACACCAGATCATCCCCCGGGGGGGGTACTCCCATATATTTGCTATACGGGGACGTGCCGCTGGCCAGGGTATGGTTTTTGGCCTTGCTGTCTTAAACAGGGTATACATTTCACCCGAAATTGTCTTAAACAGGCTCTACAATTTAGNCTGAAGATAGCCCTTGGAATAGTTGCAGCCAGACGAAGAGCCATTTTGGAAACTGTTGGAATTACAATAGCTCATTCATTATCTGCATCAATCCACCCCCCTGTACATCCCAAAGATGTCTCTGATACTGCCTCTCTGATACTGCCTTTTTTTAATATGCGATTTCATGAAATCATCATTATACTTGTAACGTCAAATCGTGAACACCAGATCATCCCAAAGACGTCGACGTCCGAAGATACATGCATCGCTGTGCCTTTTTAACAACCACATGCTAACATTTGCTGGCTATACAAACATTTGTATTTATTTAGCATTTATCTGCAAATTATTTTGAGCAATGTACACAATGTACAAAAAGTTAAAAARCACAACTACTTGCGTGCTTCTTGCATTAGCTTTAGTGTGAGAACAACAAAAGGTATTGTTGTTGTATACATTAAACCCCCTAATAACACCTTCGCACTATATCGAAAATAGCCATAAATATAAGTACAAGGCGTCTAACAATATTCAACACTCCTACTTTTTCTAACATTACTTCTCTCCTACTTTTTTCAGTAATTTCTTACATCTTAAAAGTCCTAATCAGACAAGCACGTTTAAAGCTTATTAAGCCTTGACGTTCTTTGTTATAGATAAGCTTTGATGAGCTTTCATTCAAATAAAAACTTGATAAGAATATTGRATAAGCACAGAAGAAACGCTGCGACAAAGATAGAAATACATGCGTACAACTGCTTATCTCTCTTTGGAAAACTTTTTTAATGTTCAGGCGTCATTAAAAAGTCTGGTATAAGTTAACCACGAAAGACGAATTCTACTTGACCTCAAWCATTGATAATAATTAAACTACTTTTTTATATATATATCTAATAACTCAAGCAACTCATATTAAACATTGAAAAGGTTCCTACCTTGCTTAGAAATGCAGAGACACAGATACAAAGTAGAAAGACGTATTGATCAGCTACCTGTAATCCTCTACTGGCTAGCAAGAGGCACAAGACACACAGAACACGCAAACATAGAGAAATCAACCAATCAGAAACGAGAACTTAACCACATGGCAAATRGAAGCGCATCGAAGCGCAGCTTTTTGTTTTCCTTCCATCCTACTTCCATTCTTTTCTTCCCTTCTTTCTTTAATTAAATTTTAGCTGCAAAAGGCAATAAACAATAGGTCTCTTGTTTCCTTTTTTTTACTTTGATCTCTTCTGTGAAGTTTTAAAAAAATCTTGATTGTGGAAATCATAGTTAACTGTATGGAAATTTTCGTATTCGAATGGGTATTAGCACTAAATGTTGTAGCTGTTAGCTTGCAATCGGTTGAAGTAAAAATAGCAGAAGAGATTTTACGAAATAATCATGTGATATTCATGTGATCAACACCAAGCTGACCTGGTTGTGGGTTACCTGTGCTCATACGTGTAAGGTCTCTCTCCGCCACGACTGGACGACGTTTTCTTCCACTGTAACATTTGCAGACACAATCAGTCCATTAATAATGGCTACACCAGACGTTAAATACACCAAGGTAAGAACGATTGTTATGAAAGTGGTAATTGGCGATTTGTTTTTTGAAACTCAGATCTTTTGTCAGTGAACGTGCTAAAGTCAATTATCCTAAACCCAAAAGAAAACATATTACGCGTGGCTCTGCACAAAGCAATATAATGCATCATTTCAATTAAAAAGATCCTAAACAAATAAAAGACTTGTGTAGCCGCAAGTTTTGGGTGACTGCATCACCATCCCATTGGCCTGCAGTGAGGCGCTGAGCACAGCATACGTCATGCAGGAATTCTGATGCATTCAGTCCGTGGAGCAAACGATGCATTAATTGTTGATTCCACATGAGGAAACAAGGAATTAGCATATAATTTAACTATTTGTTTCTCTTTGTATTGCTGAAAGATCTTTATCAACAATGAGTTTGTGGATGCTGTTAGCAAAAAGACATTTCCATCRATCAACCCTGCWACAGAAGAGAAGATTTGTGATGTTGCTGAAGGGGATAAGGTAAAAACATTTTATCAAACTGCTACTGGTTATCAAAAAATGCAATGTGTAAAACTGATATTTATAATTCATGCTTTATCAAGGCTGACATTGATGCTGCAGTCAAAGCAGCCAAAGAAGCCTTCAAGCTTGGTAGTACATGGMGGACAATGGATGCCTCCCAAAGAGGACGCCTCCTTTACAAGTTGTCCACACTCGTTGAAAGAGATCAGGAGTATCTTGCAGTATGTAACAGCAGACTTTGTTATTGATAAAATTGTGAACAGATAACATGGATAAATAGATGGATAGATAACTGAATGGCTTGTTAAATGAGTAAAGGGATAAAGGTCGATAAATATTGATTCTCATTTATATTCATAAATTTTTTTTKGGTTCTGAATTAGAAACTAGAAAGTCTTGATTCTGGGAAGATTCTTAATGAAGCTAAGAATGATATCAGTACAGCCATCAAATGTCTGCAATACTATGCTGGTTGGGCAGACAAGATTACTGGCCAAACWATTCCTGCAGATGGACCCTACTTTGTCTATACTCGTCATGAACCTGTTGGTATTGTGGGTGGAATTGTTCCTTGGAACTTTCCAATGATGTTAGCTACATTGAAGCTGTCTCCTGCTCTGGCTTGTGGCTGTGTTGTTATTCTGAAGCCAGCAGAGCAGACTCCTTTGACAACCATCTATCTGGCTAGTTTGGTGAAAGAGGTATGACATACAATTGTGTAACATACAACTTTAGTTATAATGCATTTACTATATCATGTAATAGAGTATACATCAATTCAGACAATTTTTATATTCYCAAACATGTCTGTGATTGATTGTGCATTTGTGTTCATGTTTTTTACTTTTGTTATTTGTAGGCTGGATTCCCACCAGGAGTTGTCAATGTTGTRCCTGGCTATGGACCCACAGCTGGAGCTGGTATCTCAGAGCACATGGAGATTGACAAAGTCACCTTCACTGGCTCTGTAGAGGTGGGTTACTTGYGTCAGACAAGTAGACTGAGACTTTACTGACAGCATTTTTAAGTAAAGTATCATAATTCTTAAGTTTGATTTCATAAATTACACTTTAGGTTGGTAAAYTGATTGAGAAGTCAGCTGCTGAGACCAATCTCAAACGTGTTGTCCTTGAGCTTGGTGGWAAAAGTCCCAACATTGTATTCACTGATGCTGACCTTGACCATGCTGTARRACAGAGTTTTATTGGTCTTTACTCTAACCAAGGCCAGGTATGCTGTGCAGGGTCCAGGGTTTTTGTCCAGGAAGGAGCTCATGATGCCTTTGTGAACAAAATGGTGGAAATGGCAAAAAAGAGAAAACTTGGGAATCCTTTGGAGACATGTACTGAACAAGGACCTCAGGTACAAGAATGTTGGTAATGGTTGTAAAATACTTTTACCAGGAAATCAATGACAACTGTGRCCAGGAAGTAAAGATTGCATAATGTTGGTCATGTGACCCTTAGTCACAGTCTGAGTGTGTGTATGCAATTTTTCAGTTTATTTGTCATGGTTTCACTTTAATATTACAGCTGTAAAAGGTGATAAATAAAAGGTCAAATTGAATTGTTGTTTTCAAACTTTGAACTAAATTGAGTTCAATTATTTTTGAAGGTTGACACAGAACAGTTTAACAGAATTCTTGAATTGATTGAAAGTGGCAAGACGGAGGGTGCAAAGTTGGAGTGTGGTGGTAGTCGTCATGGAGATAAAGGTTACTTCATTGAGCCAACTGTCTTTTCTGATGTTCAAGATAACATGAGAATTGCCAAAGAAGAGGTACACCTGCAGTGAAAATATTCACCTTTTCCATGTTTTCTTTGGCAGCTGAAGTCCTTTTTGTTGACTTCAGTGTGTTTGTTTATAAGTTTTCAACAGTTAGGAAACAATGACCTGAATTTATGGGTTGCTGTTCTAAAGTTTGGTATATTTATTTTGGGTCACTTGTAATACTGATAGATTTTTGGACCAGTTATGCAAATCCTCAAGTTTAAGACAATAGATGAAGTGATTGACAGGTCTAATGCTACCAAATATGGTCTTGCTGGTGCTGTCTTCACCAAGGACATTGACAAGGCCATCACTATTGCAAACAGTGTACAAGCAGGAATTATGTGGTAAGTATTTCCTTTTGTAGTAAAACTGGTTGTGTTTAAATCTTTTGTTTACATCTGTTTTCTCATGTTTGTTTGTGCTTATCTTTCAGGGTAAATTGTTATTTTGGTGGAATMCCACAGGCTCCTTTTGGTGGATTTAAGCAATCTGGATTTGGGCGTGAATGGTAAGAGGATTTAAAGTGAAGTGCTTGTTTAAAAATAATAATAATRATAATAATATGTGGTATTTATATAGCGCCGATATCCTCTGAGTTCACAGGCGCTTCACATGTATAGATCATTTCACACGGACCGCTGTTTAAGGCGCAATTGGCAGCCACGCGGCTTACAATCATGAAAAAAGTGAATCAGATGTTTGTAACTTGGTTGATAACAGTTTCTCTTTTCGCTTTAGGGGAGAGTATGCTTTGGATTCATATACTGAAGTGAAAACGGTAAAAATACACGACTTTAAACAGTTCAGTTTTATGTCTTGTGTGNATTTTGTTTATTCTCAGGTGGTGGTTAAGCTTCCTCAGAAGAATTCCTAACCAAAACGAACGGAATGCAAGGAAAATAGACAAGATGGAAACGGAAATGACAAGTAGGATTTGAAACAAAAAGAAATATCGAAAATATAATAATATATAGACTGAAACACCAGTACATTTAGGTGACTGAATTGCGTCTGTGTAAAACGACGAAGACAAATTAGTATGTAATAAATAGTGTTTTCTACCGATGAATACCACATGGACTTCTTCTCTTACATCATGGACCTGCTTTTGCCATGCTATGTTTTTTTGACGATTACTGAAGTTTTGATGCTTTCTTCATCGCATAATTGAAAATGCGCACCTCTAGCTCTCTGAATATGCCTAGTGCCGTTGATGAAAAATTTCACTGCTCGTTCGATGCTCGTCTTAACATTTTACAAATTGCGCAGGGTTTTGAGTTGTGTATCCTCTTATTGACACACTCTTGACGTCATAAAATGTTCAAAACTCAAGTAGACCCACGAGCGCAGGTTTAATATGCGCTTTCTTGTGATGTCACTCGGTGACGTGTTGTGACCTCAAATTATGAAAGCCAGATCATCCAAAAGATCTCCTTAGGATGCATGGATCGCTGTGCCTTTTTATCAACTAAATTTATGCTAACATTTGCTGTTATATACAAAATATTTTTATTTATTTGTCATTTACATGTACAAAAGTTTAGAAAACACAACTTCTTGCTACCTTCTTTCATTAGCTTTGGTGTGAGAACAACAGAAGGTATTAATAGCCGAGCTCCTGAGCGGGCCGACGACCATAGCTAAGAAATAGCTAAGAARAAATGGTATATCCATCGAGTCGATTTTTCATGGACCGAAACAGGGTTTCCGCAGCACGTTTCCTTCCTTCCGTCCCTGTACCATCACGAGCGCGATGGTCGATGGTCGAGCGCGGAACGCGAAAGGCGAGAGCGGAAAACGGACATTGCGAAAGTGATCTGACTGTTCATATAGCTATATACGGGTCTGGGCAGGGACGTGGTCCCACGTCCCTGGTCTGGGTGGTTGACCTTTGCGTATATCCGGTTGTTACGCGTAAAGGGTGAATGGACTCAAGCGAAGAAAATTCTCACGTTCATTTGTTTCACACTATAAACTTAGAGGTTTTTCCACATAATTCACACATTAATAATGGCTGCACCAGACGTTAAATATACCAAGGTAAGAATGTTTCTTTTTGAGGTGGTCAAAATTGGCGATGTTTTTTTTGTAAACTTTTGGTCACTGCCCTCAAAATACTAAATGCCCGAGGTTTTATTTTCTTCTAACAAAAACCAATAAAAACCACTACAAGCTAGATTGATGCCCTGGTTCCAGAATTGCGGATATTTTCTCTCTTGCGCTTGCCGTGAGCTCAGTAGATTTGAATACCATCAMCTGATTCTTTACCTCGGCRCAGAAACGAAACAGTCATTAGAGACACTTGGAAGATTTTACGCTCGAAAAAACATGAAAATAACAACTAACGAGCACGAAATATCGAGCGCTTTTCCTGAGTTGATCGATAAAGTGTTCATGTCTGGAATCGTAGTTGTTTTATTTCATTTTCACAAGAAATGTTGACTGGGGCATAGAAGTGCCTTGGTGTCACTTCCAAGGTCAATAATTCAAATGACCGAGGCCAAAGAATTTGCTACTGAGCACACGGCAACTGACA